TTTAAGATTTATTTATTTATGCATACAAGAGCTGGGGCACAGGCCAGAGGTGCGGGGTGAGGGGGTGAGAGGATTCTGTGGGTATTACCCACAAAGACAGCGGGGAACAGAACTGGCAGCCTGACCGAAGTACACTGCTAAGGGGAGCAGCGGGCGAGTCAGGAGAGGTCTGCTGCGCCATGTGGGTTGCTCCCTGGCTGGCTGGGGATTGAACTCGTGCTGCAGAGGTTGTGGACAGCTTCATAGGTTGCGTTCCAACCCCCTGCACCACCAGGGAGGCCCGCAAGTTATGCTTTTCTGAGCCTTCAGCTTCATTATCTGGAAAGTGGAATTAATACTTTGAAGAAGCATGAAATGAAATGATTCTCGGTAAAAAGAAACAACTCTTTGTAAAATGCTTGACATGGTGCCTTTAATACTGTACTTGTTAAGTAGTAATATCTGTGATTGTTACATGCCATGCATATTTCTTTGATCGCTTCATGCAAGCCCTGACTAATCTAGCCTACCTCCCCTCTGGATTAGGACAGTGGACTCAAATAAGACTGTTGTTACCATTTTATTTACAACTAGCTTCTCAAAATGAAAGCGTCTCCCATCACCCCCAGCAAGATTTGTGTTAATCTGTACCCCAGCTTTCCCTGGAGTAAATCTTACTCTCTGAGGCTGAGCATTGGCAGACTGCTCAGAGCCTTGACAAATACTGATTTGCTGACTTGAGAGTCTCTCTAATAGAGATCGGGTGTCACCTGAGGTGTGCGTGAACACTTGAAATAATGAATATAGAAACTTCCTGCATGGTGAAGAATTTGAAATGTTCTTTTATACATTTAAAGCGTTAACTACTTTCCATCTATTTCTGGAAATGGCCTCAAAATCTTAGTCTCTTTATGAATAAGTATCAGAATCCAGTTTATTCTTTCCACTAGGAAAAAACTAAGAGTTTGTATTCTTTATGCTACTAATTCAGAACAAAGCATTACCTGTTGTCAGTCTCTTCTTACTTACTGACTCCCTAAGATAAACTAGAAGTAAACTTAGGCTTCTTTTTAATTCTAGTTAGGATTATTTCTCCTTTTTTAAGGATGCTATTATTAAACCAGACATACTTGCTAAAGTGGTGCTTTGGCCTCTCCAGGATACAGCAGGTGGGGATTTATTTTGCTTTGTGGCAAGGAATAGTGGCTTTTGTTGGCTGAGTCAATGTATATAAGGGAGTAGTTAACTTCTGAGACAGATGGATTTTGCATTAACCAGATGACTTTCATTTGATGCCAAAACATTTTATCAGTAGTCCTGGTAGCATAGTCTGGGCTGATAGGCACTCAGCTTTTCCTTTTAATCTGAATTAAACCACCTGTCTATATGGAATTTTTAAAAAGTCCCCTCTTTGTTGGGGGAAATGGTTGGAGTGAGGATGGATTCAGTGCCGTGTGTGAACTGCTCCCAGAACAGAAAGGTGCCTCCCCCTGCAGGCAGGCCTCCCTCATTTGTGCTCGCCGGTGCTGCCTCCCTTAAGAGATCCATGGTGGGTACCCTCCATTTACTCTGCTGGCACTGAAGATGTGTAGACCTCTCTGTGCATTTGGAGGCATCAGAAAGAGTTGCTGGTTGGGCTTGACTGCCCAGGAGGGCATCCCCTCACCTTCTCTACAAATTGACCAACCTTTGTCCTCCCTTTGTCTTCCGTAACCTTCCTTGTCCCCAGTGACTGGAAGACATTCTCCAGCCTGTTAAGAGGTCATCGTTTGAGGCTAACTTGCTGTAAGACTGAGTGACCCTTCAGGGATCTTTCCATTTTTACCACTGCTCTCCTCTCTACCCACCTTCCCCGGTCTTTTCCTCTCCTTACCCTCTTTTCCCACCAAGCCTCCTCCGCCTTAACGGGGTCACTAGACAGATTCAGGAATGAAACCTCTTGACTGCCGAGATTAGGTTTCGGTCTTCCCTCTCTCGGGCCAAGTGATAGTCCATGTGAGTTTGATTCAAGCAGCCAGGAGCCCAGGCTACTGTTGCTTTGTGATCTAATTTTTTTCTTCTTGCTTCCTTGTTACAGGCAAAGAAGAGGAAAAGAGCAGAGCGTTTTGGATTGCCTGATACAAAGCTTTTGATGCTCTATTTTCCAGTCGTTTCCAGCTCTCTGATTCTTGGTCATATGTGTGTATATATATTATACCTAAATGCACAGTCATGCGCCTAGGTCCTGCCTTGCAGTGAGGGAGCATGTACCCCAGGTACATCTGTGAACTCCAGCAGCAATTTGACTTATTGCTGTTTCAACTTTAAGGTTGTTGTGTTACTAGTTGTTTTTTTTTTTTTTAATTAATATTATTATTTTGCTTGTTAATAAAAAAATAGAAAAGAGAACAATGTGTCTTATTAGGTACTCCTTTGAGCTCTTAGAGCCAGATTAGGCCAGATGAAGGGAAGGAACTTCAGGGACAAGTATTATAGGGAATTAGCCATAATTCCTTTATCCTTCGGAAAAGAGGAGAAAGAAAAGGACGGAGTCTATCCCCTTAAGCCTGTTTATTCCCTTCTCTCACACTCACCAGCATCCTTTTACAAAACTCTTTGTCCTCCATGAAGAGGCGAGGTTTCACCCTGAAACTTTGCTTCTGCAGATTGGCATGACCATGAAATGGAGAATTCTGTGGAAGTATACAAGGATATAAATACAAGGGCTAATAATAATGATCAGTAGTTATGAGCATAGAGGCATGTTATTTGCTGTTTTGTTTTGATGTACTGTACAGTCAGAAGGATGAGAGAATAGCGGGGAGCAGAGCACAGAAGGACCGAAGTACTGCTTCGGCAGGAGATGCAGCCATGTGGGACCCTCCTAGCAGCCGGGGATGCAGACGCAGCCTCAGCGCTCAGCTAGTTATGAGCTATTAATGAAACTTTTTTCTTAGATAAAATGTAGTCCAGAAGTACTCTTACTTTTAAGAGTGACCTTGTATGATACTGTGGGTTTTAGCGGAAGCCAGTGTGTGGGGCCCTGTTGTGCTTCAGGAAAGGAGCAGACCAAGCTGCCTCCCAGCACTGCAAGAATTGTAGGGACTCAAAGCATGACAGGATGTCTTATTACCTAGATCACTGGGAACATAAGCAGTGTGGCTGGAAGCTTCTACTTCCAATTAAGCCCTGTGCAGCTTTGTGGTTCTCTGTTGTAGAAGCCTAGTAGTGTGATTTTGGTGGCATTTCTCAGCTATTACTAAAATCCATTTTCCTTGTCAAACCTCTCTTTAGAAAGGTTTGGTTGTCTCCATGCTGGCCTCTTATTTGCATTTGAAGTTTCACAGAGATCCCAGACCTGCTTTTTAGGTGGTTGGTATAGGGTTTCTCCTTTTAATCTTTATTTCTGGATGTCTCTATTAATATCGTTTTGTTGTTTTGGTAATAAAACTTAAGGGCCTAACACTTTATCTAAAGACTTTGGTACCCTGATGAGATCTTTGTTGCTTGATTTCTATTAAAACCTGCCTGTGATTAATAGAAAAGTAATGGTCTCTTCCTAACAACAGTCACTTTGCACATAATCTTTTTGGTTGCTGAGGTGGACAGGAACCTGAGTTTAAGTGCTTTAGGACGACCTAAGTTTAGCCATTTGCCTTTTTGCTGTGAATTTCGTCCCATTCTGAGACTTTGGAGAAGTGCACAAAAGGGGAAGCTGATTAAGCTACTCCTTCCCTTTTTTTTCCTCTGGCCTCTCTGTCTCCCTCTCATTTCTTTATTCCAGGCTGTGATCTTGAATCTAACTTTTCTTCTCTGTTCTCTATCTGAAGACAGAACCTGAGAGAGTAGTTTGATAAATTGGTAAAGGAAGGAATAGAACAGATGCTGATATTTGAGAGGAGCACTGGGTCTTTCACGCTTTGTCTTCTTGTCCTGTATCACCTTTCAGGAAGGTGTTCAGCCTTCCTCCTAGGATTCTTTTCCAGAAGCCCGCATAGTGATTCTTCTCCCTACTCATTTCCCCAAGTCTTTGATACAACTACTTAATATGGAATTTTCACTAACTTTTTCATCGCATTGCACAGCTGTTCTTATGTTGGTCAGAAATCTCACTTCCAAGCCTGCACATCAAATCCTCTCCTTCCTGTCTCATTATAGTCATGCCATGCTTTTTGAAAATGAATATTTCAGGACACCAGTGTCTTTTTTGCTAACTCAGTCTTAAAATAATAAGCCCATTTAAGGCAGAACAGGCATCCAGGCTTGTAATTCTTTATCTGATCCGAGTACCTTTCCTTCCTATCCCTCAGTCTCCCTAGTATAGCTGATCCAGGATCCAGATGTGGTTAACTGACTCGAGTGTTTTTTTTCCCTGTCCTGAAGCTGTGACATTCTCTGCATACCTGGAAGCTTTTAATGAGGGAGTCTGTAAAAGACGTGGAGGAACTAGCTTCCTTGGCTATAAATCTGTACCTTTTTATGGTTCTCTAGGATCATCCTCTTTTCTTCCACCATCATTCTAAACTGCCCTTCCCCCACAGCCTCAGTGCTTGGGAACTGGTGACGATAACAAGGCTAGAATCTTCTGTGGGGTGAAGGCCATAGGAAGGTATGAGTAAGAGCAGAACTGCTTGCTGGTGAGTCCTGTCCTGTCGCCATGTCTGACACAGCAGCAGGCCAGGGGAATAAGGACGGAACTTGTATAAATAAGGGAGCGTAACTTTGCCCCCTGTTGTTTCTTTCTTTTTTTTTAATAGAGGCATTTTTTTTATTATTATTATTTGTTTGTTTTGTTTATACATGCACTGGGTACAGTCAGAAGCGCGGGAGGGTGAGAGAATTCACCAGAGCCAGAGCGGGGAGGCAGAGCAGGCAGAAGGACCGAAGTACACTGCTGAGGGGAGCAGCGGGCGGCAGGAGAGGTCTGCGCGCCATGTGGGACCCTCCTCCGGTGGCTGGGGAGCAGCTGGGGATCGAACCAGCGCCGCAGAGGCCGCGGGCAGCTTTGCAACCCAGCGCTCAACCGCTGCACCACCGGGGTGGCCTCCCCTGTTGTTTCTTACGAGGGTCTCTAGCAGGCAATGTCTCTCCTGATTATTGAAATCTACCGCAGTGTAACTCCCCCTTCTCGCACCGCGTGCCCACAGTTGTTTCCCTGCAGAGGCGCTGAAGGGGATGACAGGCAGGTTTCACGCTTCTGCAGGCTCTTTGGACCTAAGGTGCTCCTAGTTGCTTTCCTATCCTCAGTTGCCCTTGATTGTAGTTTCTCTACCTCTAAGGCTATTATTAATCACTTAAAATGGGGTGCTGTTTGGCAACAACTTAAGTATCCTACCACTAAGACCCTGGACAAACTAATTATCCTGTGACTTGTTCTAGACTATCCCATTAGCAACCAACCCTATTGTGAAGGTTGCTGTTGCTCTATACTCAGCACACCTTACCATAATCTGCATTGTAATCATTCAGTAAGTATTACCTCTCCATTTCACTAGGTGATTTACAATGGAAATACTCCCTTGAGAAGATTCCAGTTAGAGGGTTTGAACTCGTTTGAGCATGTGTATGTGTCATTCACCACAACATACATGCTGGTACATTTGGGGGTTCAGATAGTGGGGAGAGGTGTGAGGAATCTCAATTGCTTCTTTACCCCCAGCTCACTGGCAGGAAAGCCAACATTGTGGCCTAGAGCTTTGACTTTCCTGTGTCTACCTTACTAAAGACCAGAAATTATAAATGCCAGTGTCTGCTGGTTCTTAGCTCGGGCCCCAGGAATCCAAAATATGAGCAAAGCCACAGTATACGGCAGTTACTCGGGCATTGGATTGGAAGGTGTTTGGGGATAAAGAAAAGGAGCTTGAAAGTCAGCTTGGAGCCTCTTCTGGGATTCCTCTCAAGGTAGGAAACAAATGAGCAATAGAGGGGGGAGAGGTATTTTTAGCTCAGGGCAAAGGCTAGGGGCAGGAGTGGGTAAAGCAGCTCCAGGGGGGATACAGGGATACCATGTGTGCTATTTTTGTCTTCTCAACCTCAGTCTTGATCTGAGGTGAGGTCAGTTTGCTGATAGAATTGACAGGGAAAAACATTTAGCATATTGAACCCTCAGGGGTTCTGTACCCTATTCTGGATCAAGTTGTCACAGGGGCTTCCCCTCCCCCCTTTTATGTGAGGTGAGGGTCCTTTGTTACCCACAACTCTTACATGCCCTAGGAGGTGTGCAGTATAGGTAGATGGGAGAATTTTTATGGTGTGGTTAAAGGGATATTTGAGATGCTTACTAGTTGGTACACTGGCAAGGGGAATGTGTTGATTTGGTCTGGATTTTGGTGACACTTCGTTGAAGAAATCTAGAATTAGGAAACTGTAGGAAATAGACCAGATACTAGCTCTGGATCATTTCAAGAGAAATTTAGATCCTTGGAGACTGGGGAAGAGATTTTTTCTCATCTTGTTTTGGACCAAGCTCTCCAGAGTTGCTCCAGGTCCCCTCCCTTTCTTTGCCCATCTTCTCTTGGGCTGCATGTCCCGACCTTAACCCCACATACTCCATGTTTTTCCCTTGCCCCACCTTTTTAATCCTTGAGCACCAGGTTTCCTCCTCAGATGGCCTTTGTTCCCAGGCTCTGAGGGGTAAAGGTGACGCTTGGGTAGGGAGAAGAGTTCATCACTGAATTCTAAACTCTTTGACTGCTTTTATTTTTTTTCTTTTTTCAGTTCAAGTGCTGGATTGTGTCATGTGACCGTCCCAAAACTCAGAGCACCCTGTGGCCATCTTTGCCCTCTGTCACATAACTTGAAAACTGCCTGATGGCCTTTTTTGTAATGGTTCCCTTCAGGAAGCCTTGATCTCAGTGAAGTAATCCTTTCCCAGCATTCCAGTGCCCCTGTCAGCCCCGTACTCCTCAGATACCCTTAACAAACAAAGGCAATCACACAGGTGGTGTAACAAATACACAAACAATTATACTAATTGTGATCGGAGGGGCACTGGCCAGATCCACACACATCGTAAGATGGGAGAGGAGGGTGCTGGCTTCCACTAAGTCGCTTGGCTGTGCCCCCCCCTCTTTATCCCATGCCTCTGTAGGGATGGGGAGGCCCAGGGGAATGAAACTTTAACTGGGATTTATATTCATAAGAGAAAGACACCCCCGCCCCCCCAACAAAGGTCTTTATTTGGTGGTATTAAAGGAGCATATTCTAAGTGTCCCCCAAATCTAATGCCCCATCTCTCTAGAACTGGTAGAGGGAAGTCACCTGATGCCTATTGCCAACCCCCACTCTGCCAAGATGGAGAGATGGGCATTTGACCTTGCAGGAGGCATCTTCCGTTCTTCTCTTTTCCTCTCCTTCCATCAAGGACATGTGACTCATGCTGATGGTCAGATACATCTTGTTCTCCACGATGGGGGCAGAAAGAAGCATGAAGAACAGGGCCAGAGGAGGTGGGGCTGGCACAGGTGCTACATGGGGAGAGGGGAGTCGAGTGCCCCTGCCCACTCCTGTGCCGAGACACCTCGTCTCACTTTCAGTCTGGGAATGAGAGTAAGATGCTACACACAGCTCACCATCACCTTCCCAAGAGGGCGCCGCAGACCTGTGCCCCTTCCACCAGCAAGGCCACGTGGGAGAACCGTGTTCTGGGGAAGAACAAGCCTTCCAGGTTAGTGCTCTCCAGCCTGGGCTTTGCTTTAGCTCAGTAATGTTTGCTTCAGACCCATCACTGCTGGCTCTACTTAAAGTGATAATGTTGCTGAAGGTTCTTTCCTCTCCTCTCCTGCCATCCTCTAGGCTCTTGCCTCAAGCCAAGAGGTCTGCTGGTGAGGTGTGGATGGGGTGTGGACAGGAGATTCTCAGCTCCTTGGCTTCAGACAACTGTCCAGCTGGGAGGCAGAGGGGAACTTGTACTCGGAAGCCTGTGACTCCTTTAAGCCTCACATCTCTTCACCACTACTCTGGTGCCCTGGTTATCTGTCCCACAGCGAGAGGTATTTTATGTCCATAAAGTGCCCGTGGTAAGTGCTCAGAATTCATCTCTTGGCTGTGGCGGGTGCTGCTATTTCTCATTCCATCGAGGGGAAGAAACTGAGGCACAGTGAGTCAAGAGGAGGGTGGGTCAGGATTTTAGGAGGAATAAATAGGCCCAGCTAGTGACTTGGAGAGTCAGCCAGTCTCTGCCTCCTTCCAAACCAGGGAGTCTCCATCCTTCCCAACCTCTGTTCTAACTGGCCTTGTCAGATGCTTTTCCCCATTGTATTGTCCCCTCCCTGTTGCCAGGTACTGCTAGATTCCAAAAATAAAAGATAAAAAATAATTATAGACACTCTGTTCCCTTGTTCTCCCACCCCCCTTCCACCCTGAGCTTTGGGGCTGGGGAACTAAAATGTCCCCCCTCCAGAATTCCTTCCCCCGCGGTCTGCCGGCTCTATTCCCTGGCCCAGTGCAGTGATTTGGATTTAGACGCCCTCTAACCTTCAGCCTCCTCCCCACTCTGTGTGCCCCCTCCTAGCCCTGCCCAGACCTCGTGACTCTGGGGCCTTGCTACTCTCCTTTTTATTGACCTGAAGGGAGAGGCCGGGAGCAGGGGCATTCCACAGGCTCTTTGGTCTCCCTCTTGGCTGGGGGGAATGTGGGCATAAGTGGGCCACTCCTCTGGCTACAGAATACTCTGAGGGTCGGCTCGAGGCTTGGTGTCGTGGCTCTCATGCAGACACTGGAGGGCGAGGGCGCGCCGCTCCATCTCCTCAGCTCCTAAGCCCGACCTCTTGACTGTCGTGGCTCCACTGGAATTCAGTTCAACCCGTTGGGCTCAGGAAGGTTAAACGGGGCGAGTATGGGTTGGAAACGTCCATGGTCGGCCCTCTTGCCCTCTACTCCCTTTCGGACCCCGGAGGCTTTACACAAGTGCTTACGTAGGTGGCTACTGCGGAAGAACAGGGTGTGGGAGAGAAGGGGCGAAGGGAGCGCAGTGGGCAGGGGCCCTTCGAGTGCGGTAAAGCCAAATTCCCCAAAAATGAAAAGTCACAATAAATAAATAAATAAAATCCACAAATCCTCACTTGCGCCCCTGCCCTCACTCCTGTCCCTGGCCGCGGCTGCAGGAAGAAAGGGAAGAAGCTAAGAAGGGATTTTCGATTTCCTCGCCTACTGAGAGTGGCAGTCGGGGGTCTCCCCCCACCCTACCACGCACGTCCCCTTGCCAGCTGAGGGAAGGTATGGGGCGTCCTCTCACTCCATTTCCATCTCCTCCTCGTCTCTCTGCCTCGTCTCGGCCTCGTCTGCCTCTCTAGCCCTTCGCCGTCTCGCGGTTGCTCTTCTTCCCCGTCTCTGTCCCTCTGCTCTACCTGTCTCTGTCCCTCTGCCTTCTTGCCAGACCTTCTCACCTGCATACCTCAAAAACTTCCCACCTGACCATGCTCCCTCCTCCTTCCCCTTTCCCCCAGAGCCTTCACCCCTCACCCCCACCTGCCTCCCTCTGTTGTATTGCACACTGCTTGGGCAGGGAATAAGGTGTGATGTTCATGGGGAGAGGCGGAGGGAGCTCTAGGGCCTTTTGGGGGCTGGGGGTCAAGGCTGGGGGTCTAGGGGTAGGGTCTGTGGGGGAAGCATCCTCTGTCCCCCACCTTAGGAGCAGCCACAGCGATCCACCACCATGCCAGGGATCTTGCCGTAGATAATCTGCTGCTTGTCATTGAAGTAGAGCATGTTGATTGGGGACATCTTGGTGGGGGTACAGCAGGGCCCCGCAGAGCCTCTCGGGTTAGCCTGCTGCACCAAGTGGGTGTGCGGGTACTTCTGCATGAACATGTACTCGCACTGGCCGGAGCAGTAGTTGGCTTTGTAGCGTTTGGGCGCGATGATCCAGTCCCAGCCAAAAGCCTCGAAGTCCACTGTGAGCGGGTAGCGGCAGCAGCGGGACTCGCTGGAGTGCTCGTCACAGTCCAGGCCCAGGTTCCGCCGGGACCGCTTGGTGTTCTCCAGGACTCGCAGCTCCATGAAAGGATGCTGAGGGAAGGAGAAGCGCGGAAGATGAGAGGGCCCCGAACAGCTGTCCCCTGCTGTCCCCTCGGCGGGGCCATCGGACACGGCCCCCGCCTTAGCCCACCCTACACCTCCTTTTCTTACCAGCTAGCCAGTCCTTCCCGAATGCTCCCTCCACTGGCCACCTGACCCTCCTCCGCCCTTGGCCCTAGCTCAGCAACAGCCCACTTTTAGGTTCCCATGGCTCTTCACCCCAAATCCAGTTTCCAGCTGTTGCCTGGCTCCCCTCTCTGGAAAATAATAAATAGCCGCCACCCCCTCTTCTCCAAGTCCTCTAGAACCGGCTCCTGGCCCCAGAAATCAGTGCTGGTCCCTAAGCCCCTCTACATTCCTGTTCTACCTTTTCCAGCACCCCACCTCAGAGCCCGGCTGCCCAGGCCTGCCGCCCTCCCGGGCTCCCCGCTCACCAGCCCCTCCGCTCCCGGCCCCAGGGAGGTGACGGCCAGGTCTGTGCCGCTGGGGTCGAAGGCGTTGATCTCGATGCCCCAGTTGCTCTGTGGCTGGCGGAACCAGCTGTGTAGCACTTGCTTGAAGTCGATGCTCTGCCAGTGGCCGGAGCGCGAGTGCAGCTCGATCTTGAGTGACCGGATGCGGATGTGACGCCGGCCTCCGCCCCCTCCCCCTGCGGTCCCCTCCCCACTGAGGGGTTTCAGTCGCAAGATCTGCAGGTAGACTGTGGCCGGGCGGGGCACAGGCCGCAGGTACACCCACAGCTGGGCTTTCAGCACCTTTGTGAACATCACCTTGGGACTGAAGTGGAAGTGGCAGCAGAGGGGGCTGCCGTCTGTCTGCACCGCAGGGTCCGCTGGGGAGAGAGAAGGGGACACGGATCAGCCCAGGGTGTGCGGAGGGGGGGCAGCCCTGCGTGGCACTGGCAGTTTGCAGTCCTCAGCCCGAGTTTTCTAATTCTTTATTTTTATTTTAAACATTTTTTACATCATTTTTCATTTTGGCACAATGCGTGCATTTTCACCCTGGCGATAGTCCCCGTACAGTTCGCACCCCCTTGATTTCATTCTTTACCCGCCCACGCCTGTCTTGGTGACCAGCCTGTCACTGGGCCCCAGAACAGTGCCTCGGCGCTCCCCCGGCCTGACCAGTGCGCACCCCGTCCGCACGTCCTTGTGCTTGGACTCCCGCCTCCCGGGCGTGGCGAGGGAAGTCTGCCTGCGGCCTTCCTTTCCTGCGACTTTCCCCAGCAGGTGGGCTCCAGCTCTTTCTGAATTTTTGAGGCTCCATCATCGAGGTCAAACATCAGACCACACCTGCTGTCCTCAGGTCACCTCGCCCCATGTCTGCCCTGTTTTGTCTGGTGGTCAGGTGGAGCCTGGGACAACGCCCGCCACCCCCCAAAACACACACACACCCCAGACTGCTTCAGAGCGTGTTAGCCGAGGGGCCCGAGAGGAGCCACGAAGTAACCAGAACCGCGATCGAGGCTTCCTGCCTCATCCCCACGACGAAGAACACACGCAGCAGAAGGGAACTGTCCAGACACTACCTGTGCATCTGACTCCCCAGTCCCTTGACCCTGAGAACAAGTTTTCTCAGCTGCTTCCTCCTCCTGGTTTTTATGCCTGGGCGGTCAAGGGAGGGACACGCTACCTCCACGCTGTTTCCTCACTTACCCAAAGCAGTGAGCGGAAGGACACCTGAGCAGCTCAGCTCTGATCAGGCTCCTGCTCCCCTCCGAGCGCCCTTTGGTCTCTCCGTCCAGGGCCAGCAAATCCTCACAAAAGTTTAACATCCCCAAGTTGTATCTTGGCACTTTGCCTTTGTTCTGGACCATAAATTGACCCTTCTTGGGGCTAAAGGATGATTAGCCTTAGCCTCCATTTCAGCTGCTCTCCGTTCCCCTTTCTGACCTGTGCAATCAGTGGGCAATGCCCTGAACCATGTTTCCGCTGGACAGGAATATCCATTCTCACTCTAGATAGAGGAGGAGTCGGGAGTGAAGCTTCCAGAGCCATGGAAGTGTGACCAGAAGCCCAGACCCCGCTGGGCTGACACTCCAGGTGTGGAGTTCTGCACAATCACCATGGCGGCCTTAGCACCAGCTGTCTCCCATGAGCAATCCCTCACCTACCCCGGGGGGACCGGGGACCCTCATGTTAACACGGGGAGGAAAGGCCTATGACCTTCGTATATTTGGGACAAGCGGCATGAAGTTCCTCTGCAGTTTCCTTTCTCTTGGCTCTTGGTACTGGAGTCCCAGGTACTGGAGTCCCGCCAGTTACCCTCCTGCGGGAGCAGCAGTGACAGTGCCCCCGGGTAGGATTCAGCAGTGGAGATTCAGAGATTAGATTAGCCAGGGGGGCAGGGGAGCGGCTGGTGAGAGGAGTGACGCCACAGCAGCCATCCTAAGAGCTTACCATGCGCAGCCATCCTAACAGCTTACCACGCCTCTGCCTCCTCTTGGACGTGGGGCTTGCTCTAGCTTCCTGCCAGTCTTAGGCGTAATTGGGTACTAATCTCCTTGAGGGTGGACACTTGTGTCTGTTTTGCTCACCATTGTAGTCTTAGTGCCTCCATGGCACCGGCTTCTCAGTATATACGCGCTGAAGGCCGTCCCTGAACTCGCAATCCTAAATTACACGGGCCAACCTCTGAAAGTTGGTCCTGGCATCTAAGCATTGTTCCTTGATGACAATTCAAGTGGGTTTCGTCACTTCCTGACCCCTCATTAACCGGTTTCTGACCTTACTCGCTAAGGGTGTCATCACCACGTCAGGGGTGCAGCTAGTAATCCTTGCTTCCTGGGGGTGCGGATCCTTGAAGAAAGCGCTGAAAGCAGTTGCTTCTCAATCAGGGTTGGTTTGTTGCTGGTTTCTAGGCTCTAAACCACACTCCCCTGGTGGCCAAGTCACCCAGTGCTTAGAGTTGGGGAACCCAGGGCGCCATCCCTCCAAGTCCTGGTTCCTTCAGGCAGAGTCCCGACCCTGCCCGAGGGGGTCTCATGTGGAGACAGTGGAGCAATGGAGCAAGAAAGGGGGGAGACCGCTGAGGATGAGGGAGGTGAGAGAGGACACTGTCAGGAGGAAGGCAGGTTAGAAGAGAAAGAAATGGGGGCGAGAAAGAAGAGAACGGGCAAGATCACGGTAGGGGGAGAAGAAATAAGTTCGGGGGCTGGAGAAGGGGCACGCAAAGGGCGGGGGGAGGTTAGGGCGCTGAAGGGGGGAGCTGGCGAAGCCCCGTGGGACGGCGAGAGAGGAGAGAAGGTGCAGAGGGAGGAACAAAGGAGAGGCAGGTAGAGCGCGGAGGGAAAACAAGGGGCTGCAGAGTCCCCAACACGGCAGAGGCCCGCTCCCCGGGGAGGGCCGGGCCACATCTGTGTTGGATGGATCGGGTTGGCGGCGGGCGGCAGGTCAGGGTTAGTGGGCGGCGCTGGTCTGCGGAGAGGTCATTGCACTGTTTTCAGCGGAGGCCCAACCCCCTCCCTGCTCGCACCTCCCCCTCCGCCCCCTCCCCAAACACGCTCCCCTCGGGCTCGCGGTGGGGCCGCGGCCGGGGCCTCTCGGGGCGGGCGGAGCGGGAGGCCGGGGGCTGGGCCCGGCTCCCAGCAGGGCCGGGGGCCGAGCTCGGGATGGAGGCCGGGGTGGGGGAGCCGCGGGCGGGGGAGCCGGGGCGGGCGCGGCCGGCGGGTGGGGGCGGGGGTCCGGCCGCGGGCGGGGGCGGGGCGGGGGGAGGGGCGCGAGGCTTCTCCGCTGACGCGCGCCTCCCCCGATTAGCCGAGCACAAGTCTCTTATTAAAGCGGGTCCCTGGGGATTAGACTATAAAAGTCTCTTTTTCCTCTTCCCCTCTCCCCTCCCCGCGCTCCCCGCCGCCCCCTCCCGCTCTCGGGAGCTCGGCTCGGCTCTTAAAGGGGCCGCGCCGCACCTGGCCCGAGCCCCGGCTCCTCGGCTCCCAGTCGTGGGGGGCGAGGGACCGAAGTTGGGGTGGAACCCCCCCCGCTGACGTCCGCCCCTGCCGCCCCGCCAGCCCGCCCCACGCTTCCACTCCTCGCGCGCGGGGTCCCGTCCGTCCTGCACCCCTCTCGGGGCGCCCTCGGGGCGCGGGTCCTGGGGCGCAGGGGCGCGGGGAGCCGCAGCGCCAGCTCCCGCTCGGGAGTCCTCTCGCTCCGCCCGCGGGCCCGGCCGCCGGTCCCCTCCGGGTCGCCGCCGTCCAGCAACTCGCAGCATTCCTGCGCAGCCGGTCCCGCACGCCCGCCCCGCCGCGGCCGGCCTCGGTCCACCCTCCGCGGGCAACGGGGGCCGGCCCGAGCCCGGCCTCGCACGCCCCCTGCAAGTCGGTGCCTCGCCCTCGGGCGCCCCTTCCGCAGCCCCGACCCCCCGGGCTGCGCTGGGGCCGCGCAGTCGCCGGCGCTGCACGAGGCGCTCACCCTCCCGGGCGCACCTGGGCGCCCGGCCTCTCCGGGGGGCAGGTCCCGGACGCCCCTCGTCCCCGGCTTTTTATGACCCGTTTGCCCATAAACCAGCCTCCCCCTCTTCTGCTCAGAGCCATAAAACCTCACAGTGCGCGCAGGGAGTGTGTGGGGGGTACTTGCCAAGCCCCAGGGAATGGGAACGCGTCTGGGCTCCAACTTGGACAAGTTGGGGGAGAGGGCGGACCTCGTGGGGGAGGGGAGAGGGGGTCATCAGACCCTCGGGAGGACTGGGCGCGGGGAGAGTTTTGGGGGGCGGGGTACTGGCCTGGATTTTCCGGGCCATAAAATTTCAAAGCCGCTCCAGTCCATGAACATGTTCATCTTCCGCTCGGCCGGGGGCCGGGGTGCCCGGGCTCCCCTCCCGCCCCGTCGGTTTCTTTCTTTTTCTCCCAGGTCCTCCCGTCCCTCCGGCCCGGGGCGGCGCGCGGAGTGGACGCGCCGACGGATGCCCTTAGCCCGGCGCGCGGGGCCGGCTCCTCTGACCTCGGGCTGCGCCCCGAAGACAGCTTTCGGGGCCCTGGGGCCCCGGGTGTCACCGGGGCCGGGGGTCGACAAGCTGCCAGCTGGGCTGCCCGGCCGGGTCCCCGGCCCCGGGGCTGGCTCCCGGGAGGGGAGGGGCCCCTGGGCGGCCCGGCGGGCGCGCTCGCGCGGGGGGACCGGCTGGGGCGCGGGGGCCGGGCCCGCGGGCGGCGGGGACGCCCGGGGTCCGGAGCCCCCGGCCCGTCGTGCGCTCGCCCCGCGGCCCTTCGGGGCTGACCGCCGCCCCCTCTGCGCGCCCCGCGCCCCCGAGCGCCCCCTCCGCGCGGCCCGAGCGCCGGGCGCGCCCAGCGACGTCTCCGCTCGCCCCGCCGGCCCGCGAGCCCCAACTCCGCGCGCCCGCAAAGTTCCCGGGCGGCCCCGCGCGCCCGGCCCGCACTCACTCTCCTGGGCCATGCTGATGACCGTCTCGGTGGTGGCGTGGTACTCGTCCTCCTCCAGGAAGTCCTCGGGCTGCAGCGCGTCGCCCTGGAAGTCGTGCAGGTCCAGGATCTGCTGCAGCGGCGGCGCCTTGGGCAGCAGCTGCTTCACCACCTCGCGGCTGATGTTGGGCGCCTCCTTGAGCCGCAGTTTGCTCAGGATCTGCGCCTTGATGCTCTCCAGGCGCAGCTCGCGGCTGTGCTGCCGCCACACGCACACGGGGCAGCCGGCGGGCTCGGGCGCCGCGGACGGGGCCGGCCGGCGCGCGCGCTCCCCCCCGGCGCCCGCCGCGGGGCCCTCGGCCGCCCCCCCCGGGGCCGCAGCTCCAGGGCGAGGAGCAGGAAGCCCAGCAGCCGCGGGGCCGCGAGCACCATGCTGGAGGGGAGGGGAGGAGACTGGGGCGGGACGCCGGGGTCCCGGGGGAGGGGCGGGGAGGGCGCGAGGGGGCGGCCCGCCCGGGGGGGCCGCGGGGGCCGGGGCGGCGGCGCGCGGGCGGGGCGGGCGGCGGCCGGGGCGGGCGGCTGGGGGGGCCCGAGCCCGGGCCGGGCCCTTTATAGCCCCGGCCCCCGTGTCGTCAGCGGCCGCGATTGGCTGCGGAGCCAACAAAAGAGGCAGCGCTGTCATCCGAGGCGAGAGCGGCCGCCGCAGCGCCGCGGCGGGAGAGGGCGGGCGCCGGCGAGGTGGGGAGACGGGCGCGCGCTCGGCGAGGCGGGAAGCGCCGCGAAAGTCAAAGTCGGGGGGCCGGTCGGGGGCGCGGCGGCCGGGAGGCGAGGCCGCGAGGGGGGCCCCGGGGGAGGCCCGGGGGCGCCGCCGCGCGGACGGAGCCGCCCCGAGACGGCGGGGCCGGGGCCGGGGGCGGGGGGCGGGGGGCAGCGCCCGGCGGGCGGGGTGCCAGGCGGAGGGACCGGGAGACCGAGGCCAGGGCGCCGGCACGGGGGCGCCCAGAGGGGTGGGGGCCGCGGCACTGGAGGTGCCGGGGCCCAGCTCCGCGAGGGCCTGGGGAGGCCGGGCCCGGGCAGACGCCCCCGGGGTGGGGGCAGAGTCAGCCCGACCCGAGCCGGCCCGGCGGGCGCGCGGGACGCCCGAGGGGGCGGAGGGAGAGAATCTGAGCCGGAGGCTCCGGGAGGGCGCCGGGGGCGCGGACAATGGGGCGGCGAGGACGCGGACGGGCCCCGGGGCCCCCGGGGTGGGTGGCGGGGACTGGGCGCCCCGCGGGCACGGGCGGACCGGGAGCCGGGGAGAAAGTGAACTTGAAATTGAAGCTCGAAGGGGTGGGGAGGCGGGGAGAGGCCGGCACTGCCCGGGACCGGGGGAGGGGCGGGGAGAGACCCCCGCGCCGGGCGGGGAGTCGGCCTCGGGGCTCCGGGCTGGGCGCTCGCCTCTGCGGGGTCCTAGAAATCCGAGGAGGGCCTTGGGCTGCGGGGGAGCTGCGGGCTGTGGCGAGGCGGCCTGGAGACCCGGGCGGGCTGGTCTGCAGGTGCGGCCTGGGTGGGCGCAGCCGGGGCCGGGCAGGCGGCGCCGCGGGGCCAAAACGCTGTCGAGGGGCTCAACTCCCGGCGCCGGACACGGCTTCCCAGACCTCGCTCTCCCCGGGTCTCTTCCTTGCGTCCAAAGCCCCGGAGGCCAAAACACAATAGTCGCGGTAATTGCAGCTGTTTGAGGGGGTCCGATCTGCTTCCCGGCACTGACAACTTGAGTTGAATGGACGGGTGACGATGCTGGGCCCCAGGGACACAGCCGAGCGCGGCAGTTTCCTCTCCGGAATCAAGCCCAGCGGGCCGTCCTCAAGTCGGCGCGCGGGAGCTGCGCCCTGGGCTCCAGCGGGAGCAGGGCTGGGAAGCGGGAGTGGCATTGAGGGAAGAAACCGGGGCTCCAGGTGTGAGGGAGGGATTAGGGGCGCCAGGCTGGGGAACTTGGAAGAGAATCCATTTCCATGGGGAACAGCAACGCAGACAGCGGCAGAATGGGGGAAAAAAACAACCACCCAACACATGGACAGCTGGTTCCCGCGCTTGCTTGGGGCTAAATCATGGCCATTTCAACATGCCATCAGCCGTCTTCATCTGCAAAATGAGAATCACCTTGTCCCCCCTCAAGGAGTGTGCAGGATTACACGGCAGCCACTCAGTAGTGGCCTCCATGGGCTCCTTCTGCCTCAGGATTTTTTTTCCTTAAGGTTTTTTATTTGTGCATACAAGAGCTGGGGTACAGGCCGGAGATGGGGGAGTGTGTGACAGGATTCACCACAGACAGAGCGGGGAGCAGAACAGGCAGACTGACTGAAACACACTGCTGAGGGGAGCAGCGGGGAGACAGGAGAGGTCTGTGCCATGTGGGTTGTTCCCTGGCTGCGGGGGGGGGGGGGGGGGGATTGAACTTGTGCTGCAGAGGCTGCAGATTGCTTCACAGTCCGGTGCTTAACCCCTTGCGCCACCAGGGAGGCCCCTGATATGCATCTCAGACCAGGTACCACCACGAGGCAGGATGGGGGGGTCCTGTGCTTACTCACCCTCGGTGTTCACCATATGCCTCACCTCCTGCTATGTAGCCACATCCTCTGACGATGTCCAACCCCCGGCCCCCAACCTTGCGGAGACTGAAGGTGTATACAAGGCCCTGATGACTTCCTGCAGATGGGCTCAGCCTCCATGCGAATCCGCGAAATACCAGCGCATTAAACCTGCTTGTTAGCCCTGATGTCCATGTTTCCTTTGTGCCGTGTAACCACGGGTCTCAGTGAGTTAGTCATTACTATCATTCCAGGTGAGCCCCTCCTCTGGAGACCAGGGCGAGCAGGAACCTTTTTCACCTTAGCTGGTTTTTTTTTTAAAGGTTTATTTATTTATGCATACAAGCACTGGGGTGCAGGCCAGGGGTGTGGGGGTGAGAGGACCCATCAGAGACAGAGCGGGGAGCAGAACAGGCGGATGGACTGAAGACACTGCTGAGGGGAGCAGCGGGGAGCCGGGAGAGGTCTGCTGCGCCCCGTGGGCAGCTCCCCGGTGGGGGATCGAACTCGTGCTGCAGAGGCTGCCGACAGCTTCACAGGTCAAGTCTTACCCCCTTGCGCCACCGGGACCCCCCCTTGGCTGTTCTGAATAAAGAGCGGATGGACTCTGCTAACTGGGCCTGGCGAGCCCGGCGGCGCGGAGACAGCGGCCTGGCCGCGCGCGGCGGGGCTTCGCCGGCGGGAAGGGGGAGGCGCCGGGAACAACCTGTGGGAGCGAAGGCTCCGCCTCGGGCCTGCCGCGGGCCCGGCCGCCGCGCCCGCGAGAGGACAGGCCGCCCCCTGGCGTCGGGTCCCGCGGCCTCCGCCGGAGCGGCCGAAGCCTTTTTGTTTCGCGCTTCGCCTGTTTCCCCTCAGGCCTCCGGCCCGGGGCGCTGCGCGGCTCCCCCGAGGAGCCAGAGCTGGGCCGGGCGGTTTCCGTCCGGAGCGCCGGCCTCCCCCGCTCGAGGCCCGGCCACGCGGGCGCCGCCGCCGGACGGGCGCGCAGGAGGGACCCGGCGCTCCGGCTCCCGGCCCGGCCGGCCCGGCCTCGGCCCCGCCCACTCCCCGTTTCCCCGGCAACCGGCCTCCCGCGGGGCCCCGCGCGGGGTTTCCAGGCAACCCCAGGCCCGCCTCCCCCCAGGTCCTGCCTGCGCGGTAGTGAGGGTCCGGCCTCGAGGGGCGCTGCGGGCCGGGGCGCGGGCGGGCGGGGGGCCGGCGGCGGCCCCGGGCGGGCGCGGGGTGTCCAGACCCGCCGGGCCCGGGGGCTCGCGCGGCCTCCGGCACAGGGTCCGCCGCGAGCTCAGGAAAAGGAACTGCGGACCCCGGAGGCCGCGGCCAAGGTTGGGGGCCGGGAACCCCGGGCCGCGGGGGCGCGCGGGCCCCAGCCGGGGGGCGCCCCAGCCGCGCGCCCGGCCCGTGCCCCCCCGCGCCGCCCCTGCGAGCGGGTCCGCGGGCTCCCGGCCCGGGTCCTCGCCCGTGTCCCCGAAAGGCCGTTTTAGGGCCCGTGGACTCCTTCCCTGGCGCCGCGGGCCGTTCCCCGGGGGGGCCGCGCCCCCAGAGCAGCCGAGGGGCGGGGGCGTCCCTCCCGGCCGGCCCGGCTCGCGGGGGGCTGCTCCGCGCCGCGGGGCTTCTGCGGGCCGCGCCGCCTGCTGGCCTCTCCCGCGAGCCCCGGAGCCCCCAGCGAGGATCTTCTCCCCCAGAGCCGCACCCCCGGCCCGCCCGGGCCCCGGAGGAGCTGGAGCTCGGGAGGGGGAGCAAAGCGGGAGCGCTGGGGTGGGTGGGAGGCGACCGGGGCGCCCAGAGGCGCTGGAGCGACACCCCCTTGCTGCTGGCGGCGCGGCGGCCCCGCGGGCGCTGGTCCCCGTTGGCCTCCCCCGCGGTGAGAAGGGAGGGTCCGGCCACGCCGGCCTCCCTGGGAATGCCGACCACGGGTGAGGCGCCGACCCAGAGGGGACAAAGCATGACCCACCGGGGCTGCCCCGCGCGAGGAGCTGTTGGGGAGCAGGGGAGAGCTGGAGGCCGGAAGGTTCAGAGGGAGTCCAGGGTCCAGTAGCCAGCACAGGCCGGTGCAGGTCAAGGTTGGGGTGGTGGGGGGTGTCATCACCGTGAAGGCGGGGCCATGTCTCACCCAACAGTCCCAGGGGCCGGCATGGACAGGCTTCACTACGTGGGTGGGTGGGGGATGCTTCCTTGGCCTCGTCTAGACCTCTCAGTCCCAGCGAACTAAACCCTGGGCCACCCTAGCATTGCCTCTTTCTTTCTTTTTTTAATTTATTCATGCGTACAAGAACTGGGGTACAGGCCAGAGGTGCGGGGGTGGTGGTGAGAGGATTCACCAGAGACAGAATGGGGAGCAGAACAGCAGACTGACTGAAATCCACTGCTGAGGGGAGCAGCGGGCGAGTCAGGAGAGGTCTGCTGCACCATGTGGGGAGCTCCCTGGCCGGGGATCAAACTCGTGGAGGCAGTGGCCGTGGAGGCAGTGGCTGCGGGTAGCTTCATAGGTTGCATCTTAACTCCTTGCACCACCAGGAAGGCCCTAGATACCACTTTTAATCTAAAATCTGACTACTCTTCTCCCGAGTTACACATTTCCAAGTCCTGGTGGGATGTCTCCACCAGAATGTCACTTGTGTGCCTCCTGCCTCCCAGACAGTACCTGGCACCTCAACTGCCCAGGTCTGAAAGTTCTGAGACATCCCGGACTCCTCCCATGTCCTCTCACCTTTCACAGGTAAAGATCCCTGGGTCCTTTGTCCTTGGGAATGTCACTGAGACTTCCTTCCTGTAGGGTAAGGAAAATGTCAGGCTTTTCTGCCCTCCCGCCATCAGGATGGATGATGGATCCCCGGGGCAGTTGGAACAGGCCCTGTATGAAAGAGAAGA